TGGAACCCGTTACAGGTTCCTGTCTTGCAGCAAGCGAGTTGCTCCGAGCTAATCGTTCCCCAAGCGCAGTCGTCCAGCCTGTTAGGCCTCTCAAACGCCCATTTCCCGCATTTAGAGTTCAGAGCAGAAGAACCTGTCGTCACACAATCTTGTAACAAGAAAAGATACAATATATGTATATGTAATGAGACCTCTAAAAACGTATAAATAAATGAACCAGTGCTTATAAACTTAAGATTTTTGGAAGGAGGAGGAGGCGTGGAGGCGCGGAGGCGCGTTAGCCTCATGGTTAGTGTGCTCGCCTCCGGATCGAGCGGTCCGGGTTCGAGCCCTGGCCGGGGGCATTGTCTTCTTGGACAAGGCACTTTATTCTCACACGGCCTCTCTCCACCAAATACTCCCAGTCATGCCACAGAAATCGGAGATGAGCGCCAGCCTGATCGATAGGCCATTTGTCTCATATGCAGACGTTACCTTTTACCTTTTTAAACAGGTTAGCGAAACTTGGAAGAAGCCGCTATAAAATTTAAAAGCAGTTGTTCTCGCAGAAGCGGCTTGGAGAAGACAAGAACAGCGATATTAAAAGAGACGAGCAAGAGAACTGACTAGTTGTGAAGTTAGCTAAATGTTATAGTCGTTATTGAATAACACCTTTGCTCGTTGGGCTTATCTTTCATTCGTTAAGTTTCGGTCGTTGTACTCACGCATTAAAAGCTATTTAGCTGAGGTAAACGAGATGCACATCTTTCAAGTAAATGTACTTGGAACTTTTATAGCCTGCGTGGTAGGCGTCGAAGGGGAGGGAAAGGGGAAAAAACGAGCGGGCGAAGCGCGTGACCCTTTCCCTCCCCTTCTACGGCCTGCCACGCAGGCTGGAACCTTTTACAGTTCGATGATCTGTCACTGAACTCAAATTTTAACCGGACATCNGTTGTCATTACACTGAGCTGTTCTTTCATGGTTTAAGCTGACGTTATTTAGCTGTGCGTTGGCAAAAAAACCTTCCAGCTGAATGCGTTCGTTTTGTTTTCAGTTTGTAAGAAGGTTTTATTCAGTCTCCTTCCAAATGCTCTTGTATTTGTTACCTTATTGTCTCTTGTATGATGCAAATTTAAGATACAAAAAGGAGAGCTCTCATTCTTGTAAGTTGATTTACACCGACGATTTACCGCAAAGTTAAGAAGAGAAAACGTCAAGCCCAAGTTCTCTGAGTGTCCTAACTCCAGTTGTAGTAGATCCGACGGTATTTTGGAACCCGTTACAAGTTCCTATCTTGCAGCAAGCGAGTTGCTCCGAGCTAATCGTTCTCCAAGCGCAGTCGTCCAGCCAGTTGGGCCCCTCAAACGCCCCTTTCCCGCATTTAGAGTTCAGAGCGGAGGAACCTGTTGTCACACCATCTTGTAACAAGAAAAGGTACAATATTTGTATATATAATGAGACCTGTAAAAACGCATAAATAAATGAACCAGTGCTTAAAACTTCAAATTTTTGGAAGGGGGTTTAACAGTTGAGCGTGGAGGTGCGATGGCCTCATGGTTAGTGAGCTCGCCTCCGGATCAAGCAGTCCAGGTTCGAGCCCTGGCCGGGGACATTGTGTTCTTGGGCGAGGCACTTTATTCTCAGTCGGCCTCCCTCCACCCAGGTGTATAAATGGGTACCGGCGAATTTAATGCTGGGGATGACCCTAGGATGGACTAGCATCCCATCCAAGGGGGAGCTGAAATACTCGTAGCCGCTTCATGCCACAGAAACCGGAGATGAGCGCCAGCCTGATCGATGGGCCACTTGTCTCATATGCGGACGTTACCTTTTACCGTTTTAAACAGGGTAGCGAAACTTGGAAGAAGCCGCTATAAAATTTAAAAGCAATTGTTCTCGCAGAAGCGGCTTGGAGAAGACAAGAACAGCGATATTAAAAGAGACGAGCAAGAGAACTGACTAGTTGTGAAGTTAGCTAAATGTTATAGCCGTTATTGAATAACACCTTTGCTCGTTGAGCTTATCTTTCATTCGTTAAGTTTAATTCGTTGTACTCATGCATTAAAAGCTATTTAGCTGAGGTAAACGAGATGCACATCTTTCAAGTAAATGTACTTGGGACTTTTATAGCCTGCGTGGCAGGCGTCGAAGGGGAGGGAAAGGGGAAAACACGAGCGCGCGAAGTGCGTGACCCTTTCCCTCCCCTTCTACGGCCTGCCACGCAGGCTGGAACTTTTACGGTTCGATGATCTGTCACTGAATTCAAATTTCAACGGGACATCACAGCTTAACGTCTTCTAATTTCATACGATAGACGATGCCACGGACCGCCCCATGACTCACTCAAAATATTTCTCTTTTCTTGTCGCTTGTTTAAATTTCAAATTATTTGCATACAGATTAAAAAAAATACATTTTACTTGAACCATAGCTGACACCAAGGTGGTCGTCTTGTGAAGGTGGCAGCGACGCTCCTTGACAAATGGTTCACTTTTTTGCCGTGGGCGCGTTCAATTTGGCGAGCAGTAGCCTGCGTTGCTGGCGTAAACGGAAAAGGAGTAGGGGACGCAAAAAAGCGGGGAATAAGGGAGCAGCCTCTCTTAGGGTTAAGACTGCTTTCCCCCAGACCCCCAAAGACTCCTTGGAGCGCTGAGAAGCGATGAGATTCACGTCATTGGTTAAAAATTTTAGAAACCTATTGAATACCCGGCATTTATCATTTAACAGGTGAAATTTCTTTAAATACACATAAACAGTGGTACAGAGCTTTTATAGACATCAACGATTANCACCAAGGTGGTCGACTTGTGAAGGTGGCAGCGACGCTCCTTGACAAATGGTTCACTTTTTTGCCGTGGGTGCGTTCAATTAGGCGAGCAATAGCCTGCGTTGCTGGCGTAAACGGAGAAGGAGTAGGGGAGGCAAAAAAGCGGGGAATAAGGGAACAGCCTCTCTTAGGGTTAAGACTGCTTTCCCCCAGACTCCCAAAGACTCCTTAGAGCGCTGAGAAGCGATGAGATTGACGTCATTGGTTAAAAATTTTAGAAACCTATTGAATACCCGGCATTTATCATTTAACAGGTGAAATTTCTTTAAATACACATAAACAGTGGTACAGAGCTTTTATAGACATCAACGATTACGCGGCAGTGTTAATTAGGGCTCGCTTAATTCTTACTCCCTTGGCGGATACAGGCGGATTTTGACTTCATCGGCAGTACCATGGTTTACCAGCAAAGGCTGTGTGAAAGGACCTGAAAGGTAATTCCTGCTGTTACTTCACAAATGAGCTTGTGTCTTTCTTGAGAAAACGGCAGAAATGATGTCTTCGCGATTTATTTGACTTCGATTCAAGAAGAGTTCAAATTTTCGCATGTTTCATGATTCGTAACATATTCGAAATACACCGGACCGTTCATCTCACGTACCGTTTATCATTGGTCTAACTAGTAACTATGCAACAATTGTTTTTATTTTTAGACGATTTTATCATGCAACGTTTTTTTAAATAAATCTTATTTCGTCCTCGCTATTCGTTTTTGTTTCACGTAAAAAATACTCCACCTGTTTTCCACCAGCATTTTATAACACCCTGCAACTTACAATAATCCTCACCACTTTACGTATCTTCATCTTACCTTTTACTTCGATTAAAACTGTCACAAGGGGATTTTAAAATTAAGTTTATTGAATCATTATCGTGAAGAAATTCATAACACTATTTTGTCCACCGAGCCATCTCGAAGTTTCCGATACGTTCGTAACTCGCTCTTTGACTCGGCTAGAATCTTTGTATAACAATAGGACTGCATTGATTAGTTTATCCACATAGCTTATTGTACTTACCTTTCAGAAAGTTTTACACATTTAGCCAAGTTTTCAGTATTGTCTTTTTCGCTAGACCTAACACTGAGCTCTAAGGACTGTGTGTGGGTAGTGCAGAAAAACCGTCTACTCGCCATATCTTAGCCGTTCACTAAACAGTTTGGGCTTCTTTCATTGAAAATACTGTTATGAAGCTCAAAATTCAGTTATAAAATTTAGAGTTTTGCTTCGGAATCACCAATTGTTTATTATTTTGTAGTTACCACGTTAGTCTTGTGATTCTAGGGCTCGACTACCCACATAGTGAGTCTTATGACTTCAAATTGTTATCATATATAGTTTATCAAGAGTACTTAAGCTCCGAACAAAACCCCATCAATACTCATGTTTGGGTTTGTCTACTGGCCTTGGTCTGAATCTCCCACAAAGATCCTGTTTAGGTTTCTTGTTCTCTAAGCGTAAGTTTCTATTGGTTATTTCAAGAACTCGAAAGAACTTTGTAGTTCACTTCTGAAAGTCGCGTGAAAGTGTTTGGGTTAGTGTCCTGTAAAATGTTTAATCTTCCAAGGTCAGTTTGTCCCGTGTGGCCCACATTGCTACCGATATGGTATTTAAGTGCGTGTGCATTTGTTGTTCAAGTAGTGGTAATACTTTAGTAGTAGAAGCAGTAGACGCTAGACGGAGAACGTGCAAGACATTAGTCCGTGCAATAAAAGACCCGTAAACATATCATCGGTACCCCCTCGTTTGGGCGACTGAGAGTTTCCAAATTATACTATCACCGTGAAAAATTTATAGAAAAAATCAACAGTAGTTCCTTGTTAATTAGCAACTAGAAATCTTATTTTAGTCAATTTAACATTGTGCGTTATACATTGCCGTTTCTTTGTACACCTGCACATTTTTGCTTTTGTTCATAATCAAAGTTCGTATTAGTAAGTAAAAAGATATTCTCCTAGTTCCTGCTTATAACGTTATTTATTCGAATTAACAGTTTCCTCTAATATTATAGTTCTCACGGAAGATTGGCAGCTAAACATACGCTCTTCTTAAAGCACTTTAATTAGTTTCCATTCAAGGGTAAATTTCTTTTGTTATAATTCACTCGGATAAACAAAGCAACTTCGAGAACGAGTGGGAATTTAGATTAAGTCTTTCTCTTTCAATTTCCTAAGTTTGTTTTATCTTAATTTAAGTTCGCTATTTTTAATTTCAAAGCTGTGAATTTTAATTTAAGTGCTTCTTTTCAATTTCGGAAATTTCTCTCTTAATTAAACTTGCTTTCCGCTCTTTTTGTTTGTTAGAAGATGCATTGTTCACATTGTAAACATTGATATGTAAGTGATGCTATATAAGTGAGTACATTTGTAAAGCTTTTCTGATTACAGATGAGTTGAGAATAAACTCCTGTTGGAAGCAAGCACTGTCTCCCCCTTGACTTCCGTCGAAAAAAATCTGTTGGTACCAGGAAATCGTGACCAGTTTCCGCTCTCGCAAGCCTGGGTCGTATTTTCCAGAGCTATTTCTTCCCCGGGTTTTGAGACTGTTGCCCGCTAAGTTCGGAAGTGTGTGTACATCCGAAAAACCTATCGTCACAAAACACGGTGAAAAAATTCATATTCAGTCTCGATCTTGAGTAATTGATTAAATCAGCTGGGTCACAGTTTAGTAAAAACCAGTTATTTTAAAGATCGTACCAGACACAATTTTATCCGTGATGTCGAAGTTCATGGACTAATGGAAAATCTCGTTTCAGGACACAGCTGTTTAGTGCTCGTGACTTTGTCGGCGAACCGGCCACGTCTTATCCTGCAGCTGGTGATATGGAACCACCCTCAGATAGTAGTAGTAGAGGTGGTAAAACACAAGACACCAACCCAGCACTGCCCCAGTTGAGGAAAGAAAAAGAATACCTTTGTAGTCAGTGTGACCAACGTTTTGAGACCCCAACACTACTCCGCAAACACTATCGTTCCCACACAGACTTACCTTTCAAGTGCCATGTTTGTGGACAAGGCTTTGCCGATTTCCGATCCAGAAGGGAACATATTCAGCAACACAGAGCTGAACGACGGTTTAAATGTTCTGATTGCGGACGGAGTTTCGATGACATACCAGCAATTGATAGCCATCGTTGTCGCGGCAGCGTCATCGAACCCAAACGTTTTCGATGTGACCAGTGTGGTAAGACTTTTGGCAGGAAAGATATTCTCGAGAATCACTTACCAACCCATTCGAAAGTAAAGCAATTCAGTTGCGACCTCTGTGACAAGCAGTATACGCAAAGAACCGCTCTCATTAGACACAAAAAGGTTCATAGTTCAAGTAGGGATCTGACCTGTCGCTGCCACGTCTGTGGAAAACTGATGTCTTGCGACACTTCCCTCCGTGACCATCTAAGAACTCACACTGGAGAAAAGCCCTACAAATGTAAAGAGTGCGGAAGATGCTTCGCTCAGAGTTCGACTCTTGTTGGACATGTTAGAACGCACACTAACCAAAAGGAGAAGCCTTTCAAGTGCAATGATTGTGGCAAAAGTTTTTTCCGTGTCGGTGATTTCCACATACATCAGCGTATTCACACAGGCGAGAAGCCCTATAAATGCGATCAGTGTGAAAAACGTTTTCGACTCAATTCGTCCCTTTCTAAACATAAAATAGTCCACATTCCTGTTGAGATGCGAGTAGAGAAGGCTGCAAAAGAGGGAAAGCTCTACAAATGTGGTTACTGTGACAAAGTATTTATATCTAACTCACACTTTCGAAGACATGAGCGAACCCACACTAAAGAGAAAACCCACCGATGTACACACTGTAATAAACGTTATTCTCGCAAGGAAGATCTCACAGTACACCTCAGTACTGTACACGGTTCTGGTGAAACACATGAATGCTGGATTTGCGGAAAGCTTTTAAGTAGCTATCGTAAGATGAGGTTACACATATGTCTACACACCGGTGAAAGACCACATGTGTGTTCTGTTTGTGGTAAGGGATACATGAGCTTAAAGAGCCTTAAAAAACATCAACGAACGCTGCATGGAAACACGCTCAAAAACGGGCGTGTAGAACCAGAGCCAGTTTGATTGATTTTGTTACCATGCAAGATTAGTTTATTCAGTTACATTACCATTGATCTTACGAAAGATTTGGAACTTTTATTTTTTAGAAAAAATTTCTGTTCTAAACGTTTGTGGCCTGTATCGTGTGCCGGCATGCAGATTAATTATATTGCAAAAGTAAGGGTGAGATATTAAGAAAAATAAAGGTTCATTTCTTAAAACTGCGGCTGTCACAAGATTGCGAGCGATGGTATCGTAACGTTACATGTTATATCGCTGTAATCCTAGAACATTTCGTTTTATTAGTACGAGCCACTGCCTTCGGAATATCATGTGATAAAGTTGTTCACTAGTTAGTCATGTAAAGAGAGGTATTCAAAAGGAGAGGAGGTGAGTGAAGGTTGGTTGTCGTGGACGTTTGCAAGCTTTTTGTAACTCAGTACAGCTGGAATAAATGATCTAAGGGTTTACATTTCTATTATCAATCTCGTTCCTACAATCATGGACAAAGCAGTTGAGACACTCCCCGAAAAAGACCTGTTTCGTTGAACGTGTGTGTTTTACAATCTCCAATTTTATATTTCGACCCCCTCTCCCCTTTTCAATGTTGTAACCACGTGACAGTGTCCACGGAGCGTATTTCAACATTGAAAAGGGGGAGAGGGGGTTTGCCTATCAACAAAACAGATGTTTTTGAAATTACGGAAGGACGCCGATAGAGAGCGTTTGTTTTGCTCAGATGTGTCAACACTTTTGTCTATGATTGTAGGTTCGATATCCGCTGCTCACTGTCCCACTTACTCGAGTCAGTTCGGAGAGGAGCGCGGGCTCCTTACTTGAACAGCGGCTGGTAATCAAGCCTACCTCGTTCCCAGGGTCCTCTCTTATCCTCCCTCGAGAAAGTACAACCTCGTCCCCAGGGCCTTCTCCACTTTTCGAAATGGTGGGACGGGAGAATACCCTGGGCAATGCTGAACTAACACCCTTGCTAATTGGTCCATTCATACGAACAGGCTGATTGGTTTAAATACATTCTAAACAAATATGGCGGACTTGGCGAGTATTTATACGAATAAGAAAGGGATACAGGAGTGTTCTCCCGACGAGCCGCCATTTTGAAAATCGTCGAAGAGAAGGCCCTGGCGACGAGGTTGCGAGAAAGTATCCTTGACCAAGAGAGGAGACCCTGGGAACTAGGTTGTCCTATTATTTGTGAATTAATTACCTACAGCTAATCATTGCTATCTCGAACTTGTACAATTTTCCTTTGATATGCTTCTGATGCTACAGCACTTCAACTAGTTTTTGTTTCTTAGTTGGAGATAGGGATTCAACTGTTCATTGAAACATCTTTCAAACGCACCACTCGTTTCCATAGATTATATCCTTCTAAATATCATGAATGACACGAATAAAACAAATGAAGCCATGGATGTACGATTTTTTTCCGTTTTCGCCTTAGTTTTAACAGCGGTTTCGATCGCGAAGATCTTTCATACACTCAAGACAGTGTTTGACAACATTTCCAAACCCCTCGAAGTTCGTCGAAAATAACTCTCTTTTCGGTGTTTGGGAATGTGGTCAAACACGGTCTTTCGCGTTTGATACTTATTACTTCTTATATTCTTATGTTTATGCTACGCCACATTTGCATTTACACGAAAACATATTTAAATTAAATGTTAAATTGATGGATTGATTAATTGAAAATTGAATCCCTGATTGGTTGATTGATTAATCGATTGATTGATTAATTGTTGTTTGAAACTGAATATCGCTCGATACCAGGCGCACGAGGCCAACAAACTACATACTGTAGTTGTGTCACGGGAAATCTGTCCGGAAGACAGGTAGAAAGAACTTGCTGACCAGTATATATGAGTATCTTCATAACTTGCTGAATAATGACAATGAGTACATGCACGTGGTTTCTAGCAATAGACTTTTCACAGCGTCTCTCTTCTTTCATTGAGCAGCGGGCGAGCTATCATCACAAAGGGAGTGTAAGCGCACACTTAAGGGGAGCAGGAGCAATCAAATTTTAGCCTATTTTAAACAAATAACTTGTTTAATATGATTATAACAGCTGAATTTCTAGTTTTAATTGATAATTAAGCAGCTGTATTAATATTATTTTTATAATTTCTTTTTTAAGTGTCCTCAATTAGTAGAGGGTCTTTACCCCCGGCTAGATAGGCCCGACACTTGAATAAAGTCATTGTTGTTGTTGCCGCGCGCTCTGAAAATCCTCGCGCTCAGCGATCGCTTCGCTCCCGTTCTTTCAACTTTCAAAAACAAATTAAGAAAACTAAGAGACCGTGAACAGTCCAGCCAAGGAATGACTTGAGAAAAAAAAAAAAGGAACTAACAAAATACGCTGGTAGTATTCTAAAATGTGCTTAAAATGGACTTAGTAACAATAATCCTAGCCTGCGAACGCCTCCGTCCTTCATTACCTAATATAACCGGCCTGGAGCAATGAGATGATCTGAGAGGCGGCTTTATTTGCAAGCTACAACACTTGCAGTTTCTATAAGAGCGGGGGTGAAATTAGAAATCAGAGGTAAAGAAGAGCTCGAATAATACTTCGCTTTGGTGGTTTTTCTTCCCTATATCAAGAAAGGTATCATTTGGATATTCATTAGGTTCTGGTTCATACGTCAAGAGGCGTTCTTGAGTATATTTTACCCTCGGGATTAAGCACTAGGAAGACCCTAGAAGGAGGATCACCCTACCGGCTTACATGTACATGTACTTACCTACCGTTAACGCTAAGGAATATCCTAGCACCATATTAACTACCTTCGCTCGGAAGATCCTTTGTAGTATTGTGAGGGGGCGGGGAGAGGGGGACAGTACTAAGGCCTAAAAAACGAACAAGTAAACAACACGACCGAGATTTCTGCATGTAAACCAAACGAAAAGTTGTTAGGTCGCCTTCTAGGATCTTCTCCCCACCATATGAAGGACAGGACTGTGTAAAACGCAGACTGAGGACTGCAGACTGAGGACCGGGGGTAAACTGCAAAGTGCAGACTAAGGGTAAAATGTGGACTGCGGATCAGGGATAAAATGCAGATGACTAAAGACGTTTTTAGTATATATCGTTGGTTTTTTTTTTCCATTATTGAGCGCTAACGCCGTAAACAGGGTTATTAGCCTGTTAGCAGGAGCCATAATCGGGGACGGAGACCGTAAGCGCGCGCCATTTCAAGTATTGGGGTTGTCCCCATGATATGAGACAATAATTCTATTTTGAGAACAAATTGCGCCATCACCTGCGNGGAGACCGTAAGCGCGCGCCATTTCAAGTATTGGGGTTGTCCCCATGATATGAGACAATAATTCTATTTTGAGAACAAATTGCGCCATCACCTGCGGCACACGCGCGTACACGCTGCGAGGATTTTTGCGGATGTCGCGCGGGGGAAATGNGCGTCCGAAATTCCCGAAAATTTTCATGTTTTTGGCCCACAACTCAACGCGTTCACGTCCGTTGGAATTTTGCTTAAGTATTTTCGTCGTAAGCTGCTCCAGTTTGAGTGAAGTAAGACAATGTCAAATTTAGGTATGTTCCGCTCTAAGCTTATATATATCGCTGATCAAGTTGTGTTCCGACGGATGCTTCTTTTCCATGAGCTGAACATTACTCCACTTTAAAATTTCTCATATGTTGAAAATTAACAGCTTTTCCATTACGCTGCAAAAAACCAGCTGGATATATTTAGATATAGCAGAGCTTTAGGACTTCATAGTTTCCTTACTCCTCTTGCCACACGCTTGCGAGGAATTTGTCAGTCTATCGCGACCGAAAAGTAAAACAAAATAATTGCTAGTTTGAGTTTCGCGTGAATTGTAAGNAATTAAATGTTAAATTGATGGATTGATTAATTGAAAATTGAATCCCTGATTGGTTGATTGATTAATCGATTGATTGATTAATTGTTGTTTGAAACTGAATATCGCTCGATACCAGGCGCACGAGGCCAACAAACTACATACTGTAGTTGTGTCACGGGAAATCTGTCCGGAAGACAGGTAGAAAGAACTTGCTGACCAGTATATATGAGTATCTTCATAACTTGCTGAATAATGACAATGAGTACATGCACGTGGTTTCTAGCAATAGACTTTTCACAGCGTCTCTCTTCTTTCATTGAGCAGCGGGCGAGCTATCATCACAAAGGGAGTGTAAGCGCACACTTAAGGGGAGCAGGAGCAATCAAATTTTAGCCTATTTTAAACAAATAACTTGTTTAATATGATTATAACAGCTGAATTTCTAGTTTTAATTGATAATTAAGCAGCTGTATTAATATTATTTTTATAATTTCTTTTTTAAGTGTCCTCAATTAGTAGAGGGTCTTTACCCCCGGCTAGATAGGCCCGACACTTGAATAAAGTCATTGTTGTTGTTGCCGCGCGCTCTGAAAATCCTCGCGCTCAGCGATCGCTTCGCTCCCGTTCTTTCAACTTTCAAAAACAAATTAAGAAAACTAAGAGACCGTGAACAGTCCAGCCAAGGAATGACTTGAGAAAAAAAAAAAAGGAACTAACAAAATACGCTGGTAGTATTCTAAAATGTGCTTAAAATGGACTTAGTAACAATAATCCTAGCCTGCGAACGCCTCCGTCCTTCATTACCTAATATAACCGGCCTGGAGCAATGAGATGATCTGAGAGGCGGCTTTATTTGCAAGCTACAACACTTGCAGTTTCTATAAGAGCGGGGGTGAAATTAGAAATCAGAGGTAAAGAAGAGCTCGAATAATACTTCGCTTTGGTGGTTTTTCTTCCCTATATCAAGAAAGGTATCATTTGGATATTCATTAGGTTCTGGTTCATACGTCAAGAGGCGTTCTTGAGTATATTTTACCCTCGGGATTAAGCACTAGGAAGACCCTAGAAGGAGGATCACCCTACCGGCTTACATGTACATGTACTTACCTACCGTTAACGCTAAGGAATATCCTAGCACCATATTAACTACCTTCGCTCGGAAGATCCTTTGTAGTATTGTGAGGGGGCGGGGAGAGGGGGACAGTACTAAGGCCTAAAAAACGAACAAGTAAACAACACGACCGAGATTTCTGCATGTAAACCAAACGAAAAGTTGTTAGGTCGCCTTCTAGGATCTTCTCCCCACCATATGAAGGACAGGACTGTGTAAAACGCAGACTGAGCACTGCAGACTGAGGACTGCAGACTGAGGACCGGGGCAAACTGCGAAGTACAGACTAAAAGTAAAATGTGGACTGCGGATCAGGAATAAAATGCAGATGACTAAAGACGTTTTAGTATATATCGTGGGTTTTTTTCCATTATTGAGTGCTAACGCTGTAAACAGGGTTATTAGCCTGTTAGCAAATTTCCATTTAGCCTGTTTCCGTTTAGCACACAATCACGGAAGTGGTAGACTACGAATAGTCCCTCTTTCGCTTAGTCCGTCGTGCGTGACGCGAAAGAAAAATGCGGGGAAAAAATAGCCGCGCGACAGTCGGCATTTTCCTCCTGGTCTGCAGTCTACATTTTACCCCCGATCCACAGTCTGCAGTCCTCAGTCCGCAGTCTTTATCTTTCCTGGTTGAAGGGGTCAACGCTGACTCAAACTAGACGGCCAGCGGTTAATCGCGGTAAAATTCAAAATGGCGGACACGTTTTGTTGAAAGCTCTCCTGTCAACTTTTATTTTGAATACTACGAATCAAAAAGCTCTTTTNTGTCCCATATCATAGGTGCGCGCGAATCCCGAGACTTACGGTCTCCGTCCCCGATTATGGCTCCTGCCTGTTAGCTAATTTCCAGTTCGCCTGTTTCCGTTTATCACACTCATGAGAGTGGTAGACTACGAGTAGTCCCTCTTTCGCTTCGTCCGTCGTGCGTGACGCGAAAGAAAAACGCGGGGAAAAAATGGCCGCGCGACAGTCGGCATTTTACCCCTGGTCTGCACTTTACATTTTACCTTTAGTCTACATTTTACCCCCAATCCGCAGTCTGCAGTCCTCAGTCCGCAGTCTTAATCTTTCCTGGTTGAAGGGGTCAAACCGTCAAAGCTGACTCAAACTAGACGGCCAGCGGTTAATCGCGGTAAAATTCAAAATGGCGGACACGTTTTGTTGAAAGCTCTTCTGTCAACTTTTATTTTAAATACTACGAATCAAAAAGCTCTTTTTATGGCCAAAGAAAATGATTAACCTCTGTAATGATCCGATAGTGTTGGAAAACTGGTCAAGTTTTCGCAGAAGACATGTACCATCACCCCAGTAGAGCGGCAAAAACAGGACGAGTGGTTGCTAGGGATGTAAGTTCAGTTTATATCCATCACTGACCTGTTGGGATGATGTTGAATCTCTGTAATTCTTTATTTTTTTGTAATCCTAAGCACGCTTTACTCTTTAATTTTTATTTAGGGCGCAAATTTTGGCTTGCAGTATAGCTTACAAGCTCAAGCAACTCCAGTGATCGAAAGACCTCACGGAAAACAGGTTTATATAAATTCTTAACTTAATTAAGCTATATTGTTTAATTCGCCGAACGGAATGCCACTGAGTTTAGGAACCTTTCTCCTTTGTGTTACCACATTTGAATGTGCTGACCTGCTGAGACTGATGCAACAATTGAGCTGCCTATATGTACATAATTTACATCGTGGAATATGATATGCATTGATGAACCTTATAATTCAAGCTTAACCTTCTAGGCTTTGCATTTTTGTCAAGACTTCCGAATAGCTTTTGCACAGGTAACCTATCTCCTCAAGAAAAATCAGAGATGCCTGAAGGGGCTTCTGTTTGTTACTACTGACAATAATTTGTGTTCCTCACGTAGTTATCCACGTATTAAAGCCATTTTGGTGTCACACATTAACTGATGTGACATGCATAGCCAGACAACAAAGGAAATACTGCTGATGGTTGTTTGCACATTGTGTTTACATGAGGCCATTTATAATTTGCATCAAATGAAAAGTTGCTAATAAATTCCTTTTAGCCTCTTCCAGGCATTCACTTAGTTGGGGTGCAGCAGAAAAAATGGTGCACAAAAAATAAAGAAGAGGAGTGGTGCAGGAAGGTGAGAGAATCCCACCAAGCCTCTCTCTCCTTTTTTTCACTCCATTGTTTTTTCACGCTGTTCCCTATTTAACTGAAAGCCTGGAAAATGGTAAATTCCTTGGAGATGAAAAGTCAGTGACTCGTATACACTCTATGACACATCTGAGATGACAAATGTAGTTAAGGACTGATCCCTACAATAACATGCAAACTCTGAAGTTTAATACTCACTGAACAAATTTCATTTCATGCTGCTGTCAATCATAGTAATATAAAAATACAGTCAGGGAATCAGTGTAAAATCTACCAATCACAACCTGTAGATGTGGCTTTTTGAACTCCTTGAAGGTAACTTCTGTCCCCTGAGTGGTCCACTAAGATGATTGACAGCAGCAAGTAATGCAACCATTCATTTTCATTGAGTGAAAGGCACAGTAACTCATAAAGAGTGTAAGTTGTTTTGTTACAGTATGTGTTTTAACCCAGCCTTAACATTCTCCCTGTATTTGAAATGTACATAGGGTAGTCCTGAATGGAAGCAAAACCCATACAGTCGAGAGGCTGGTCCCCTGACGAGACCAACATCAAACACAAGGGCTGACAATCAAGCAAAATACCGTCATACAATATCACCTCCTCAAGACATTGAACGTCCTTCTTTTTTGCGTAAGTAATCAAGAATTTTGTGTTCTTGTCACTAATATGATTATACCTGATGTCATTCCAATTACCTTTTGAACTTTGAATATTAGACTTTGTAATAATTATACATTACATAGAGTAAATCCCTATTCAGTGCACGGTAGATATAAAAATATCTGCACTGAGTGATTTTCAATTGAGTGTTGGAAAATGTTAACCAAAGCCAAACCAATTACTTGCCAATTAGATTAATCAGCCAATCTCAAACCACAGTAAAACCAAAGCAATTGCCTCGTTACTTTCAACACTCAATAGAGCGGTTTTCAAATGAGTGTCATAAAACCAAAACCAAACCAAACTAAGTTGTCTTTTTTTTT